GGCTCGATACATCCGGTATAACGTGTTGCTGCGCGCGATCTTAAGATCCCCTGTGGTGGACGAGTTTATGAGTCCTCACTCCCACCTGAGGGAGATCACGCTGTATCACGTATCGCTTCATGCGCGACCTCCAGACTGTCGCTCTGTCGCTCTTCAAGCGTGACGACGTGGCGCTACCCTACATCCTCCTCCATTTTTTCTTATTTTATTTCTTCTCCTCTCAACCTTCCCTCTCGCCGCGCGTTAGTCAGTAGCTAATGCTAATAAGAAAAAATAGAAGCGGATATAGGTTAGAGCCATAGCCAGCGGATATAGGGTACGATATCCGCTTCCATTTATTCTTATTTCATTTCTTCTCCTCTCGACCTTCCCTTTCGGCCCGCGTTAGTCAGTAGCCAATGCCACACAGAGGTTGAGCCTCCCCGTGAATGCGGTAGATGCCTAGTAGCTTAAGTTTATATGTAAGTGCCATACTTGGAGGACTAAAATAAAAAATAAAAAGTATAAAAAACTACAAACGAAAAAATATAAAAAAAACTATTCTCCAAGTAGTTAGGATAAGTTATTAATTAAGTAGTTAATTAAGTTAATAATTCTAACATGTGGGTAATTCTTAAAAAAATCCGAAATTCGTGTACTTTGTTTTGTTTTATCAATACATGTTTCTTAGATTTTATGTATTGATTACCAATATTTCCTGGCAATCTACACTACTGTGCCTAAAAGTTTCACATATCATTTTAGCGCTAAAAGTGTGCAATAAAATAAATGCATCTATATATTTAATATCTCCAAAATCATTCCCTCACATTTTACTAGCAATCTAATTATGAACGCATCTGTAATCAAACATGAATGCTGCTATTCGTTTGTTGATAGTGGGTAATACTGTCTATTTAACAATATAGCGAATTGAATGTGAGGGTTCAGGTGTTTGCGCTGAAAAAAGATTTAAGTAATTATTTTTAACCAACCCTAAGGGGATAAAATAGGTGATGAAAGTTTGTATGAAAGTACTGTAAAGCCGCTAAAACTACACCTAATAATAATACTTCTTAACGCGAGCGACGCCGCGGGCAAAAGCTAGTTAAACATAATTTACATTTCAAAGGTTCTCGAAGTTCTCTCCCTCACCTTACTCGTCGTTCCCTCACTTATATTTTTTTTTATTTCCTCATAATACACGTTTAGTCTGGGGACCACTATGTAATTAATATATGGTGACATCAGTACTACAATATCCATAAAAAATAAATGCAAATTAATGTCAATAATTATTAAAAATTATTAACAATTTTTTATTTCCGAATTTCGGGATTTCATGAGAACTACCCATTTTATTTGCCTAGCTTAGATTTTAGAATTTTAGTCTTAGAAATCCGCCCCAAGAGGATGTCAACCCAAAACTTTTACAAATTGTTTTAGAAATGATTGAGTTTTAACATAACAGACATTAATAAAATAAAATCCTACAAATTGACCTCCTCCATTTTATTTTAAAGTCTGTTACAAAAAGAATTTTCAAAATACCTACCTAATTCGTTTGCAATCACAATTCTAAGGACTAAGTATAAAATCTCTGGCTCGAACCAATGGTCGCAATAGGTAGGTAATAAGCTATAGCAATCTCAAATTCAATTTGCCAGAAAATAAATTCAAATGTGTCACAAAATATTCTTTGCTTATTATAAAAAAAGCTTATTATAAAATTGACGAATTTATAAATGATAATAATGTTTTTGTAGAAAATATCTAACTTAAAATTCATAGCGCTGACAATGTTATCTGATTGAACAGAGGTTAAGTGCGTACCGGTTTCTGTGTTGATTGTCGCATGCCTAATCCTTGTTGTTAATTAAATATAAGTAATTCAATATTTATTTAAAAGAGCAACACACAAGTTTTTTGCTTATTCTTCTTGTGATGAATCTGCATTCGGAATAAGCGGTAGAATAAAAAAACTTGACTATACAAAAGTGCTTATATATATGTATATACGTTAATTCTGTTACTCCAGTGGTGTAACTCTATCGTATATAGGCCGCAAATTGTACTTTATTAATATGAGTAAAAACACTTTTTTTATTTTATTTAATTTTATACTATTCCAATGCACACAGCCTCTCAAACTAAGGGCTTCCCACATGACAGGACCGTGTTATTTTGCCCACTATACCACAGTATTGTTACACCATTGTCGTACATACTATAATTAATAATTAAATAATATTTAAAATTTATATATTTTGCATGCCTAATGAGGCAAAACATAATGGGACATTATATTACAATAACAACCAATGTAAACCTATGTTTAGTGCAAATAAATTTGATTTGATTTGATTTGATACATATATTGTTCTTGAAATTTGATATGTATTCTATTTGCATCCTCATGTAAAGTGCGAATACTGTAACTACCATATAGTAATTTTTGTAGCTGTGACGTGTGGAATGAGTAGTCATGCTCACTAAAATGTCCAGACATGTGGCGGCGTGGTGGGCCGGGTCAATAGGCTCCCTAAAATATGGTCGAGCGCAGTTATGGCTGGCTCATCCATCATACTCGTGAACGAGTGCTGCTTGTAGGGACTGGTCTGCTCTTATCACTACGACTGATTTAATCTTATTGTGTTTTTATATTTGAGCCTAAATAAATTAATGCTGGTTGGTAGTTTGTATTCACACGTTGCGACTTGTAAAATGTGAACTTACAAGGATTGTTTAAAAGAGCAACACACAAATTTCTTGCTTATTCTTCTTGTGATGAGACAGCTTTCCGAATAAGCGGTAGATTTAAAAAAATGTTGACTATTCAAAAGTGATTAAATTAAGTTTATTTGAATAAATGATTTTCTATTCTATTCTATTTCTATTATTAATACCACAGATAACATAATATTACATACAGATACCCTACCACCATTTTTAAGTTTAAGTTCACAATTTTAAAGTTATACAAGTAATTCTGAATGTTATCAAGTTCAAAATAAGCACACATTACTGGCTTATATAATATATTAATATTACTTTTAATAAAAACATTTGTGACACCCATACGTATATATATTACATAGTAAGTACTTACGCCCGCGCCGTGAGATTCATCTAAGCGTACAGCGCATGCGCGTCGTGCGGTAACCGCACCGACCGACCAATAGGAGCGCGCCTCTCGCGCATCCAGAAAGTTCGCGACTAATGGACGGTATAGTAAGGCAATGAGTGTTCCAGTGACATCATTATAATATTTTCTCGTTAAGTTTTATTGTAATATACACAATTTCGTACTAAGTAACGTGTTTCCCCGTTACACATTTCTATAATAGTAATGAAAAACCTAGACCGACCCTGTTCACTTCATCTAGGATTGAAGTTTTAAGCTATTAAGCTTAATTTTTTATTCCTTCTTTTGAAACCGAATTTCATTTCATTATAGATATAAATTAACTGATCCGGCAAACCTTGTTTTGCTTTATAAATTAACTAGCTGTACCCGCGACTTCGTCCGTGTGGAATAGTGACCTTTATCAAATAAATAATAAATATTTAATAATGTAACTCGAAAAATCCAAAGAAAAAAGTTTCATCGTACTAGTTTTGAAAATGACGAATTTTTTCATCATCTTCAACTTTCATCTTATATTTCATTTTACCCTCTTAAGGATAACATTTTACATACTTAGAATGTCATATTTATTTATATTTAGTCAGCAGACTAAAAAATATTTTTAATTAAATTATAAGATTATAAATTAAAGCTTTAGCTTACAAGATCTGACTTTAAAAATGACGATATTTTCATATAGCCTTTCATTTCCCCTTTCAACCCTTTTTCGCATTAAAAAGTAGCCTTTCTCACGGTCTACATTAACTGTGTACCAAATTTCAATTAAATAAGTTCAGTAGTTTTGGCGTGAAAGCGAGACAAACAGACAGAGTTACTTTAGCATTTATAATATTTGTAAGAATATCGCTATTAAAAATAGGGGTTGGTGAAAGACGGGCCAAAATTTAGGCGTGTATGTAACATTATAAATAAATAAAAAATTGTCCATCACAAAAAAAAAAAATTCAGGGTAGGCCACCCCTATGACTTAGGGGTATAAAAAATAGATAACAACCCTACCTCAGACCTAGCAAGTATACATATCAAATTTCATCAAAATGTGGGAGAAATATGGCAACTAACACTGTGATACGAAGTTTATATATAAGATATAGCGGAATTCTCATTAGGGAAAAGAGGGGTACATCGTAGAATACATGAGGTATATACCAGTAAATTCATTGTAGCTAAAACCAGTCTCTTACACATAACGATTGAAATAAAAAATCATATAGCCCGATTTTGATACGTACGAGTATAAACGTATCAAAATCGGGCTATACGTATAGCGCAGACGCGTTACAACATATCTTCGTCGAGAGAAAAAAATAGGTATGGAATGTAGAATAAACTATAACATAATATATACATTAGCACATAAGCCATATCTGCAGGGTATCGGCTAACGATATTATACCTACACATTTACATTGAATCTTGAATCGTCCCTAATGAGGTACACGATACAGTTACCTACATATCTTGTATATACCTATCTTTGCAAAACAGATGTCATGTAGACTGAATTGACTGCCATCTATTTTCATGCTTTGTTACTAAGCACCCACTAGTAATCCGAACTGCTTCAGATCTAGAGACATCTAGCGGCTACGGCGGCGAAATAAAATAGCCCGAGTTAGGAAGGAACCATTTTCTTGTATGGGATGGGGTATCTGTATGTAATATTATGTTATCTGTGATATTAGTAAGGATTAAAATGTTAAAATGATGTGGCTAGTAACACAATATCCAGTCCCACGTTACTAATATCCCCAATAATCCCCATCCCCCCCAGGGATTGTATTTAACTTGCAACAAGTTATCTACATACTTGAATCGTTTTTCTTTTTTGTGTAAAATATCAATTTTTGTTGAAGAATTTCATACACCAAGTCTAAATTTCTTGCTTTCTTTTTTTCATTATCCATTTGGATATTATGTATTCATTTTTGTTCTTGATCTCTGTATGAGCTATGTTTTTTATATGATTGTTTGCATTTGTGGGCTGTATAATAAATAACAAACAATTATTTCATTATAAAAACTATTTGTATTTTACTGTGTATAAATTTATTTTGTGTACCTTTTTTTTATTACATTCCTTTACATCAGTCATTTAACACAAAAAAAAATATACTTAAAAGTTCTATATTACTTACATTTTCATGAATTTCAGCAATATCCAAATTAATTTTTGGCATCTCCAGTGCTTTTTCAATCAGTTTTGGTTCACTAGGTTTGTCTGGAATCTTTTAATTACATGTATTTTTATAAAAATAATATATATATATATATATATATGTTATGTAATATGTATATAGATATTATATACATATATATATATATATTATAATAACGAAATTTCTAAAATAGTATAGTTTAGGGGGGTCCGGCGGGGGGTTGGAACCACACTACGTGTCTGGCAATGAGCAGCGCAAGTTATAATAATGCTACGAACAATATATGAAAATATGGAGTTTCTTAAAATAACGAATTTGATATGATTTTTTTTGCACCTTTGTTACCTGGTACCTGCCAAAGGAACCACGATCCAGGTTTCATGTTTGGGGATCGTTCTTACCTGTGTTGGGGACACACATACAAGAACTTTCACGTTTACTAAAATGACGTATGTCTGGCCGTCGTGGGCTCTTCCTCAAAATAATGAACCTACACTTACTACCTTTACTTTTTACAATTAAAAGTAGGTTACATGATCATCCGGAATTCCTATTCTAGCATCGGAGTCCACATTTGTGTTATTGATGTCCAGATGTCACAGGCAACTGCTAGTTAAGTAATAATTGTGTAACAGTGCAAATTATGAATGCACCGAAGTTGATAATCGTTAATAATATAGGTATATAGGTAGTATTTGTATGTATACGTATTTAGTACTCATATAATACTTAACTTTCTTTTTTAGTGCGCCACCTACCTTTCCCTCACCCACTACTTTTATCTCCCTGTTTGTAAGAGATCGCTTTGAGCGATAAGCGATTCTTTATTATTTTTTTTTTATGCGCAATAAAGAGTTTTTATTGTTTTTAACTTGTATTGTAAATTTTTTGAAAAATTTATGTTTACTAAATAATATTGAAATAAATAAAAATATAGCGTTTCATTAAAATATTACCTAATATATCATCATTCATACTAAGAGCTATTGTGGAGCACAGCTAAAGCCACTAACTGCCTATCCATTTTCTAGTGATACACCTAAATCATGTAATAAACATTGGAATCTGTTTCCACACTCGAAAACTTTCCACACTATTCTGCGTTTTTATATAAGCAGAGTTATATATTTCTTCCATTCTACAGACAGGATTCAAAATTGGTGTAAAAAGGTAGGGCAGAAGTGGATACCCTGAGTCACCGAGTAAACGTTCTTAAAAATGAACATTATTAAACCTTTCTCTCCGGTAAATATTCTGCTATCATGAGTACTGCCCCTACATCTTGCTACAATGTCTAATACAAGTTTTGCATTACACATAACCTAAAATCAAAATAATTAAGTTCTTCATACATTACTAGCTACTCGGCCCGGCTTTGCACGGGTGTACATGTATTACGTATTATAAATTTCGCTTCAAAATCAGTTGCAGTTTTAAAGATTTAACAGACGACCACAGGTTAGTATCAACTTAAAAAAAACACTCTGAAGTACTCTGTATGCAGCTGCCATTGACATTTATTTATTAGCTAGATATGAATTAAAGACGTTTCCCCGTTTTTTTTTTTTTTGCGAAATACCCTAAAATCGGTGTAAATGCCAAAAGAGAAAAAAAATGTAGATGTCGGAATACATTTATATTTTACTAGGGTTAAAAATTTTAAATGCATTTTACCTTTCGAATAGTTCTATTTTTATTATTTTGGTAGTGTTTAGATATGTTTATACATAGATTTTCTGAAACATTTCCAACACAACATAACTCTAAAGTTAATTTTTTTTTTAAGAAATAAAATTGTACAAGAACAGTACTACCACAGATAACATAATATTATACTATATTATTAATACTATTCAATAAAAATGACAAATATACATTTAGAATGAATAGGTACTTTAATTAGCCGCCTAGCCGGTAACAAAAAAATATTTTTTTGGCTTATCAAGTATCAAGTTCCGTACGATTTTATATCATTTTGCATTTTTGGTGACATAAGTCTTATTTTTTTGTCGATATCATCAATGTTAATATCGATATATCAATGTGTTATCAAAGATTCGACGTCGCTGTAGAAACATCGATGTTTGTTATCCCTAGTCCTATGTTAGACCTATTTTATATATACTTTTTAAGACTTTTTCTTATCTGTGTTGTCTGTGTTTAAATATCCAGTGATATATAATTTGAAAACTTAAAGAAATAAAATAAAATTCAAAGAATTATATGTACACTAAATAAATTGGTACATTAGATATGTGGACAAAGCTATGTAGTCGAATTATATTAGTGCATCGTTATTTGTGATTTATTCAAATAAATAGACCTAAGACTGACCAGTGCCATTTTATATAGTTCATAGTAGTGTTGACTTGAAACTGAAGCAATTTACAGTAGACATTATCAGGTAGGCTGACGACACAAATTATTTTACTATTTGTGATCATTAATTAATCAATCGGCAATATTTTTCTGTTTTCCGTATCTACACTCCGTTATCGCCACGAAAATTTGTGGCAAGATTCAGCAAATAGTAATTACTTAAGCACCAGCGATTTTTTAGTTTACACAAATAAATTCCCACACTTATACTTTGTATAGACAAGTCTAGAATCATAATATTTTCTACAATTATACATTATATCAGTAAAAAAACATTACAAACACTATAATTTGTTAAATTGTTATTTATGATGATGGTTCAAAGATGTTTTTGTATTTTTATTATAGTCGAATTTCATCCAATGGGCGACCACTAGTAATTGTAATTAAGTAACTACACATAATGAGAATACTTTTATAACTATAAATATTGGGTGATGATGAAATGATGTAACTCCTTGTACTAATAATATACGCTGGTGGGGCACCAGTTGTGGTTCATGCTCATTCTACTAAGAATGAGCATGAACCTGTGATCATGTTGTTTTAAACACTGTCAAAATATTGGGAACTCAATAAAAATAAAATGTGGTACTTAAGATCCTGTTATTTACAAATTGTGTTAAGTTTTTTTATTATTAGTGATAGTAATCACAAAGCTGAACAAATTTGGCTGAATATAATGTTATTTAAGAAACCTCTCCTTTAGCTTTTAAACCAGCGAGTTGTATTTCAGACAAGACTGGCCATGTAACTGGTCCTCATAATCACACTAGTATACAAGCGTGTAACCAGCCACCACAATAATGGCTTTGAAGCTACTGAGTACATTTTTTTCCTTTTCCAACTGCAATCAGCCCTTCAGCTATAATCAGATTCTGTGTTGTTATAGGTAGAGATAAGGCATATCCAGTGAGGTGCCACCTCAATTATTTTTTTCAAATGCTGACTAACCCTTTCTACATGGACAGTTATATGTATCCAATAGCTTCAAAGCTAACTGGTTCTTACCTAAACTCTGAGCGGCTGGACTTAAGCCCCTACCAGAGAAATAGCACAGTACTATAGCTTTTACATCAGAATAACATATAGGCTATAAATTTCACACGAGTGAAACCGCAGGCACAGCTAGTATATAGATACATAAAAAATTACATTTAATTAACGATCAAATTCATTGTTTCAGCAACATGGCTGCTGCTAGTGACCTGAGTAGCATCGATAACAATGATTTGTGAGTATGATGTATATATAGTATAGATATTACATAAAAAAACATTGTAAAATTTTTGTTTATGCTATTCTTGCTGGAGCAATTTTGATGGGACATTCACTCACAAATAGGTAATGTTATAAGAAATAACTGAATCTACTTATATTTTAGAAATTTTATTTATTTTAATAACAAAATGTAAAATCCATGCCGATGAAGTAGCAGTTAACAGACAGTTGTTAATAATTGACATGCTTGTTTTCATACAATTGGAATGTCAAGCTTATGGCTCATCTGATGGTAAGTGGCAACCATAACTTATATACATCAACACCAGACTGGACAGTACTCTTTTGTAACACAGTGATAACACTCATACATATTGTAGGGAAAAAATATAAATACAAAAAAATAATAAGTACATAAAGCTGCTAAAATGTATATGAATACATTATTTTTTATTTGATTTTATTGCCATTTGGAGTATTAGTAGTATGCCTTCAGACTCTGTAACTTCACTAACTGTAATACTTATTTATACTTATATAAGTATAAATAAGTATTTACCCATCAAGTTTTCACTTCCTACATAGCAAGCTGCTTGATGGCTGAAATGTATGACAGACTTTGTACATTGTTGAATCAATCCATTCAACCGGAACAGAGTATAAATACTTATTTTTCACCCTTATATATTTCTTTAGATACAATTACATACATTTAAATAGAACTAACTCTAAATTTTGTTGCAGATTCTTTCAAAATCCAGAAAAACAGTGGATAGACGGCCCAAGGTAAATGTATATGTAAACTAAAGTTTCTTGATTTGATTATCTTATATACAAAATTCTCATGTCACAATGTCAGTTACCATACTCCTTCGAAACTTTTTATGAAATTTTATATGCATATTCAATAGGTTTCATACCCCTAAGTGATAAGGGTTGTCCACCCTTAGCATTATTTTTTTATTTTTTGGGCAATATTTTTTTATGTGTCATTAAAAATACATACAACCCTAAATTTTCACCCTTCTATCACCAACCCCTACTTTTTTATAGCGTTATCAATGAATATGGCAAAACAACGTTTGCCAGAACTGCTAGTTTGTTTGTTTATTCATTCATTCATTAATAATTTAAGAGCTACGCTCTTGTTGGTGGAGCTCTTGCCACTCTCCGCGATCTTCCATCATGTTCTTTAATTCTTGATATGACACAACTCCCATTTTCTCCTCAATTTGTTTGATGTAGCTATGCCTTGGTCTATACATTAATCTAATTAAACAATAATTCTTTCTTCTTGTGATGTGTTTTAGGTATGAATGATTGGTAGAATAAAAAAAAATGTAACTATTCAAAACTGCCTGTATTAAGTATATTGGAATAAAATTACTTTTACTTCTATTTCATCTATAGAAGAATGACCTAAACCTAAACCTAAACCTAAACCTATAGAATTGGTTTCTTTCGTTTGAAAAGTGTCTGTAAAAGCAAGATATTTTTGTTGTCTGGCTGAGGATAACAGGGGCTGAGAGACATATTTTTTTCAATTTCTAACTATAATGGCAAAATGATGATAAGTGGTAACTGTCGCCTGTACACATATGTAGATAGATAGATAATGTAAATATTTTTTTTTGTAAAATTTGCAAACAAACTGATAGTCTACCTGATGGTAAGCATTAAGCGTGGTCTATATCCCATCAAAAACATAAATGAGTCCCATAAAAAACATATATGTATGTAATCTACGACAAAAGAGGTGAGATCTAAATGGGTGCCAAGTTCAATGGTCTGTCCTGAAATGTATTTATAACAATATAAAATATCATTTCTTCTTATAACTTAGGATAAAATACTGTAACCTAAAGTCTGACTTGGCCAGTTATCATATACCAATTATTACTTTCGATTGCTAGTTACTACTAATAATAAAATAGGAACCGACAAGTAACATTTTTAGAATTTGCTTTAGGATTTGCGATGCCAAATTTGAACTTCCTAGGTCTCTGGAAGTGGGTTATAATTTTGATCTATAGTTGATCAGTGATAAAAATGACGATATTTGGACATTAATATCTAAATAACTGTTTGAGGTATGTTTATGAAATTTGGAACACATATTTATCTCGCAAGTCTCAATATCTGAACCATTTGACAGGTTTATGTGAAAGAGTTTTTGAGTTATGAGGGGGTCAAAAGTGGCTCCAAATGGTTCGTGTAAATATACACACACGGTGCTGTTCGCCAGTTGTCTTACTTGAAACTTGGCTTGACACTCTACCGCGTGTCTAGATACTTAAACAACACTGGGCATCACGTTATCATGTGTACCCGTGATACCACTCATGCGTTGTCATTCTAGTATACTAAAATACTTCCATCATGCCTCTTATCCTGATTACTAATATAAATGTTAATTCAGATAATTTGAGTATTATACTAATTGACATTGTACTCTTTTTCAGTGAATTTATTGAGCTGACTCCATCAGATTATGATCAACACATTGATTTAGGAAACGGTGATGGCTACAGCAATAATGTAAGTTTATTCTTTATATATTTATTTATTTACTTTTATTTATTTTCATGTTATTTTCTTAATAATGCACCACCCACTAATCTATTTTTATCTCATGGTCGACTGGGAGAAAATGCCTTATGGTATTAAGTCAGCCATTTGCACCTTTATTTTTGTATTTGTGCGTTAATGTTTTGATAAATAAATAAAAATATTAACTAGATTTATCCACTACTTTTTATTGTTAGGATGGATGGATGGATATGTCATAATACACACTCGCGAAAAAAGTCGCAAAAATTAATTAAAGAAAGACACATTTATTTATTTATAACTATCTATATCACCCGCTTGAAATTTAAGCCAATTTGTTATTCTGATGTATAAGTTATATTATTGTAAAGTTTTTGCGTGGAAGATCCAATCAGAAGCATCCATCCATCCATACTTACAAACTTTCGCGTTTATAATATTACTAGTTACTCGCCCCGGCTTCGCACGGGTGTATATGTATTATTCGAAATCCGTTGCGTAGTTTTAAAGATTTAAGCATACATAAGGACCCAAAGCGACAGTGACTTTATTTTATACTATGTCGATTAATATGTTAATATTTCCACTTTGTTTCTCGGTGTCAGTGATTAATTATTACTATTAAATGTATAATTTTGTTCCAGGATACACTCGATATCATGGAACTGCCAAAGTCAACGATAAACACAATTTTTCCTGTAAGTACTTGTACAAGAAGCCATTCATTTGCTATCATAATAATAACAATATTTATTTATTATAAACTCTTTTTTTTTTTCGCTAACGGTTTACGCTGACTGAGCACTAGTGGAGGATGATAAGATGAGGTCAGGTCAGTTAGCCCATCGTGAGAAATTCACCAAGAATTTATCACGATGGCTTCCGGGGGAAACTGCGTGGAGTTCAACGTGACATGGTACATTGCTGGCAATGGGGTGATTAGTCCACATTATTAACAATCGCCTCCCCCCTCACGTGTTTTATCATAACATATTCATACGATATAAAACATAACTACGTATAAAAGGGATTACCATAAAGTATGACACATTGGGAGAGGGGTGGGGGGACTGGAATAAATTCTTGTCACCATTCCATTATCATACCTTAAAAAGTGTAACACGTGACTGAAAGGGATTATAATGGGAACTAATAGCCACACTTAGCATATTAAACTATACTCTGTTTTTTAATCGATTTTTATCTCACAAGACCTGGCGGTGAAAATTAAATGAAATCTGTTTATTATTCCTCTCACAGAAAACAGAATAATTAACTATTATGAAAGAAAAAGACAAAACATATGATTATTATGTGCAAGAAAAAGAGGTAAGAAAAGAATGAGGAAACGTATCACAACTTCCATGCAACTTTAGTATGGACAGAAATAAATAGAGTTGTATCTTGTTGAGGTATAAGAATATGAAAAAAACCACTATGAATAGTGATAAGGTGACGATAATAATATAAAATAATAATAACATATGCAAAATACATGTAAGATGTACAAGGTATTTGTAAAAGAATTTACGAAGCTAGGTATCTTTACTTCACTTTCACTAAGATATAAAGGGGATAATGATAAATCCTTACTAATAGTATAAATGTGACAATAACTGTCTGTCTATCGCGCTTTCACGCTAAAACAACTGAACAGATTTAAATGAAATTTAGTACACAGATGGTCTAGACCCTGAGAAAGGATAGGCTACTTTTTAATGATAAGATTTGTAAGGGGTTGATAGGGAAGATGATAGAAATATCGTCATTTTTGAAGCTAGAATGATTAAACTTTTTTCTTTGGCTTTTTTGGATTAGATTATTATATATTATATGCAATTGAAGGTCAGTATTCGACGCGGACTGAGTCGCGGGTTCAGCTATTATAGTATAGAACATCATCATCTGCTTCTTCCTTATCTTATTTATTTGTGGTCGGTGTAATATGTTTTTCTCTTCCGTTCATCCCTGTTCGCAGTCATCGCGTTATTTACTTCCTTTATTACCATATCATCTTTCACACAGTCCATCCATCTCTTTTTCGACCTTCCTCTGCCTTATAGCCATCTATATTAATATGTAACACCTTCCTTAAAATATTATCCTCATTCCTAGGCATTACATGTCCATACCATGATAGACGATTACTCTTCAACCTCTCTAACACCGGCGCCACTTTCATTATTATAGTATAGAACCTTCGGTAGAATAGAAAAAATTACAATGTGACTATTCAAAAGTGTGGTTATTAAATTTATTTTGATAAATATTATTTTTATTTTTTCTACTAACTGCATGGACACGCGATCTATTATGTAAGATAAGTTCAATATTTGTTTAGAGATTTCATCCCTTTAACCCCTTTGGGTTTCTTGAGTATTCTACCTTCCTTTTAGCTTGCTATATCTTTACGACTTATCTTGTACTTACTTCTAAGGAATTGTTCGGATTAATACCAGCTGCTGAGTTTCACCACCCGTCAGAAACTAAAATACCATCCTGATCATCTGGATGAATGGCGGTCCTCCAAAGTGCGGTTTTCTAGAAACTTTTTCCCACGACCACACACATTATGGAATCACCTTCCAGCGATGGTATTTCCGAACCGATACGATATTGAAACCTTTAAGAAAAGAGCTTATTCCTTTTTAAAAGGCCGACAACGTATTTGCAATTCCCCTGGTGTTGCGGGTGCTCATGGGCGGCGGTAATTACTTACCATTAGATGAGCCGGATTCTCGTTTGTCCCCTGTGTTATAAAAAAAAGCTACCCACCCCGGCTTCGCACGGGTGTACATTTATTATATATATAAACATTCCTCTTGAATCACTCTATCTATTAAAAAAAACCGCTTCAAAATCCGTAGCGTAGCGTACATAGGTACGGACAGACAGCGACTTTGTTTTATACTATCAAATGATAATAATGTAATGAAAACTATAACTAAGTGTTAATTATTTTTACAGTTGCTATTCAAGGATTTCTTTCGTGTTTTTCAGATATCGCCTTGTGGTCCACCGGACAGAGCCTGTTTCCCGGGAGAGTATAATTTTCATGTGGAAATAAACAGTGCCGATACCCATAAAAAGAAATACTTAGTAAGTGTAACACTTGAATACAGGTATCAGCGTGGCATCATAAGGCACGCTACTGAACGTGTAACGTAAATTTTGTTTGTTTTAGTATTCTTCGAAGCTGGGTCGCCTATACGTGGACGCTGGATGCGACTTCCCGATCTATTTCATGTGGTCCGGCGTTGCGACCGGACTGGCGGTGCGCGCGTGCGTCATCTTCCTGGACCAGGACCAGGCCGAGAAACGTGTCGAGACGTGTCCCAATCACGACCTCGCCAAACGGGACCCCAATCATATTGGTTAGTACTTTATCATATTTTTAAACTCGCGTTTAGTACACATTATTAATATAGTTTACAGGATTTCAATAAGTGTACAGATACCGTGAGTATTTTATCCGTATGACACTGACAATCTAATGACGGTAGTTGAATAAACGGCCGGCACCTATCAACATTGACATTTGCTGTTGACATACAGATCGTAACCACGGCTAGTGGAATCTAGTACAACCGTTGCACTCGCATGTCCCCATGCAAGGGACGTCAACCGGTACGTTAATGGAGTGCAAAGGGTTAAAACTGTTGTTGTTGAGTATGTGTAGAAGTGAAACCACTATTTTAATTGTATTCGTGGATAATTTTATTCAGAATCATTTACAACTTATGTGCGTAAATTTATGCCATTAGTATACTACTACTAGAATCACCTTTTTGCCTAGCAAAAAGGTGATTCAATACAGTGAGTGAGACGGCAATACGAGTGCGCTCCTGCTCGCACCGAGTTTATAAATATAAGCGAGGCGATCGCGTAGCGCCGGCAGTTGACGCATAGCTGTTTTGCTCGAATTATGTGTGCTGCTATACAAAACTTTATTTGGGTTTGTATCTTGTGTGTATTGGGTACATCTGTATCTATAATATATACTGTTATTTTATTATTATTGTACTATTCCAGTGACTCCAGAATTCACAAAGAAATGGAAGAACGTGCTACACTCCTCGAGAAATGATGATACCGATGGCGTTTACTATTGCGGTGACAAAAACTCTTGGTACTCCACCGTGGTGACGTTCGATAATAAGACCGAGAAGCGGAGTCACGCGTATCGATTTGTTTGCAAGAACTCATGCCCGATGGGAATCAACCGGCGGTCGCTGGCAATCATATTCACGTTGGAGGATTATAAGTAAGTTCTTGCCTTTTTCTTTTAATCTTATGATTGTGGCAAGTAGGGATTTGGCCTCTTCGATGAATTTTTGTCTATGCCCTAATTTTATATTGGTGGCAATTAGGGATACGGCCTCTCATGATCTCTATGGCTTCATAGCTCCTAAACGAATAGAATTTCTGTTTTATATCTGATGTGATCAAGATATAGATTCTTGATACAATTTATAAAGATCTGTTCAAGCATTTTAGGTTGTCGACTCTTTTTGTTAGTTTTAGGGATCTTAGACGTTCTTAAATCATAATGGGTTGTAATCATTACTTATTAGTTTTTTTTTTTAGTTGGGGATTTACTTACCATGAAAATGTCATTATTTTAAGTCGTACACTATTGATGATGATTTAATGATGGTACGAGTACGAGTGGATTGTCCATGACCTGGGTAACAGATAACTGTTATAAATACATAGATACTTTTTTTGTAAATACATACATAAAATACATAGAAAACATCCAGAGTGATTGTGTTTACATCACTCTGGATGTTTTCTACAATCTAAAGATTGTTTACATCACGAATGTTTGTACCGAGCGAGAAATCGAACCCGCGACCTTCAGGGTGGGTGGAAGAGATTGATAGTAATGTGCTGGATAGTTGACGCTAATGCTAGCAATGGACCATATTAGGTTGACCTCCATGCGATTCCCCCTGGAAACCATCGTGATAAATTCCTGGTGAATTTGTCACGATGGGCAAACTGACCTGACCTCATGCTCACCTTATCATCCTCACTGCTGCCCCGTCAGGTTATACCATTAGAGCAGGTGGAGGCCCTACCATTATCATACTTTAAAAAAAACCCACAATCTTCAGAAGTTAGGCGGTGTGCTCAATCACTAGACCATCGAGGCCGTGATATATCCTCAGAGGCACCGTGTACGGGCGAGAGATGGTGAACGTGCGCGTGTGTGCGTGTCCGCGGCGCGACCTCCACAAGGACGAGGAGGCCGCACACGGACACCACCGCGCGCGCACCAGGGACCCCCAGGACCCGCCCGGCCCGCCGCGGACCAAGAAGATCAAGACCGAGCCGGTCGACCCCACCGACGACGACAAGATCGTCGAAGTACCCGCGGTGAGTTTATATAGTTGATTTTTTATGTAGGCAGTCCTCGTACTTAGGTTTTCGAAATACGCGACGTAAATCGAGACATATTTTTTCATATGTATATAAAACTAACTTATACTAACTAAAGCATATGCGGTTTACTCTGCTCTCCGACACCGCGCCCAGCCGACCTCACGGACGTTGACCTCGCGACGTATGCCGGAAATCGAAACAAGTGTATGCTTGAGGAATAGTGTCAAAACATTGTTCGCCATAACTCGAAACGAGGTAAGTCGAGGACTGTCTGTATTACGATGGCGGCAAACAAGCATAAAGCCGATCCGATGATAAACGGTTACCGTAGCCTATGAAGGCCTAACCACAAGGGATGTTACGTGCGTGTTGATCTACCCTTAAGAAACCTTAATACCGTTGTAGTTCTTAAATGTTTTATACATCTATTTGTATGCATATCTATAAGTGCTAATTATTAGTTTGTATTCACACACTTAAACTTATAAATGTAAAGTAAGAATAAAATATTTAAAAGAGCAACACGCAAGTTTCTTGCTCATTCTTCTTGTAATGGGACAGCTTTCCGAATGAGCGGTAGATACAAAAAAATGTGATGACAATTCAAAAATGCTTCAATGTAAGTTTATTTGAATAAATGATTTTCTATTTCTATTTCTATACAGATCACCCAGTGGTCGAAAATCGATAATCTTTTTTTTATACTATGTAATTAAAATGGCAAGGTAGCTGATAGTCTACCTGATGGAAGTAACAGTCATGAACAAACGTTAACACGTTGCCATGTGACATCCTCGATACCACTCATGCGTTGCCATTCCATTCTTCTTATCCTGTGATTTAAATGCCTGCCTACACGAAACCACAATCGAAAGAGCTTATTTTTTTATTGGATTGTTTGGGTTTAAATAAAAACAAATGAAAATTACTACTATAGATAGTATAGTAGTAATTTTCATTTGTTTTTATTTAAATTCGCATATAATCGCAGCACAGTTTTTATAAACCAATGCAGTTGTTTACGTTTAACATGTTATTGTTATAATTTTGTATGGGTTTGAATAAATTCTTAATTCTATTGTCATGTGTTTGGATCTGTAGCGACTGCGACCTACATAGATCTATTGTGCTCCCACTTTTCCAACACACCTTAAAAAATAGGCTGCTTCGCGGCTGAAATAGGTGAGATTGAGGATGAGGATTGAATAGATGAGAAAAATCCTCTGCTTGTGTAGCAGAGGATTTTTACTTATCTTTTTACATTGTTACTAACAAAATAAATGTTTTTAATCCCAGTTCAAAGTACGAGGTGTGGCAGCCACAATCATGGGTCTGGAAACAATGAAGAACATGATGGAATTGTACAGAAGGAAAACCACCGACCCACACAACGCCGCGCAGACCGACCAATGCATTAGTGACGTTAAGAACGTTATAAATAAGATCAAAAATACTTCGCAAACCCAACCTACCCAGTAAACAATGTTACTTAAAAGATTAGGATTTAATCATTTTAATATTTTTTTATTTCATTTAAAGCTTTTTATTTGATGGATTTTAAGATTTTTGTGGATATATCTCAATAGCATCCTGCTTGTGTTATTGGATAATCTGGCTGAGAACCAGTGATGGATGATAAAATGGTGATGAAATCATGTCTGCTAGTCCATCGACAGTGTGGATGTAATAATATATTCATAGTAAGGACCAATTAATAATAGGACAAGGACAATTCACACAGCGCCATCTAGTCCCAAGCTAAGAGCTTGTGTTAAGGGTAATAACTAATAGAAATTAATTGGATGAGAACAGGGATATTAATTTTTGTATCGTGCCTGGAATCGAACTCAAGACAAGTAAATCGCTAGACCACGTCGTCATTACTAGGAATGCACCTCAGTTTGTTTGTTACATTCTTGGTATCTTAACAGATAAACCAATTTTCATTAAATTTGATTTCATAGTTTTTATTTTTATTTTTAAGGGTTGTAGGCTATTGTCAGGTGCTAAGTAGGGAAAAAAAAATTATAATGTAAAACTTGACGTTCATAAGCGGCTAAAATGTCCTACATGAATAAATGATTTTTTAATTTGAATAAGACTGTAACAATGCAACCTGCAAAGATATATTGTGCTCGCCATTTTTGAAAGCTCGCTACATAGACCCTTATCCATTCTTGATGACAAGAATTGAAGGATATTCTTAGGAGCGATGGTTTATATTTCCTCAGGATAGAATGTATACTTTCCGAAGTAGATATTTCGTTTATGCATTAGTGGGCTGCAACGACATACGATGTGTAGTGGCGTTTCCTCTTCTGCTTAGTCTGCAGATTATTGTTAAGGTCGGGGCTAATTTTGCCTTGTGTTTCAGAATTTACTTCGCACAATAACATGAAAAAATCGGTATGGATGCTATATAGATACCAAATTGTATGATGATCACTTAATATGTTAAGGCGTACAAACAAATTTAGTTTCCCATTTATAATAATATTAGTTAAGATTTATATCTTTATTTGCTAGAGCATTGATTTTAGAAATTTTAAAATTATTTTTACTTATTTAGTATTTTTAATGTTTACTCATAAAGTAGACAGTATGTAGAGGTAAGTGGTATATTGTTAAGTTATAAAGTAAATTAGATCTGTGGTAACCAGATTTGGTGCGTAACATCACATTTTTGCTGTTACTAGAATGTTCATCTACTTTTGAGTTAAAAGGTAGCCAAGATTCATTCTTGTCATATAATATTTCATTAAGATCCGTTCAGACTTTTAAAAAAGTTTGTTACCTTACGTACAGACATACACTGTCTATTTTATATTATTAATATGTATTATGTCAAATATTCCGCCTACTAAGAATGACCTGAATCTTAGCGAATGAAATTGATTGGTCAAATATTTCATTCATTTTTTTCATTCTTTCTATCCTAACTGATGATAACTGATATAAGTTCTATACGAATTTAGTCCAAAATATAATTTTAATAAAACGTAATAAAATATATGAACTTTTGTTTTGCTAAATCACCAATCAATGGGCCAGTGATTTTTAATATGAAATGAATATGAATACGAACGAAAGTTCAAAATTGATTTTCAAATTTCCACTTTGTATAATGGTGATTATGGTTCAGTTTCGTGTCTATTCTACCAGGCCTTTGGTTTAGTATAACCTTGACAACTCTGTATAGGTTTGAAAATATACTTTTTTTTATATATATTTTTCTTATAATAATAATTAATATCATGTTAAAATTGTAATTGTTTGGGTTGGTGTAATAATAAAAAATGTGCTTCCATTGTATATTCTATCAATAGAATTAGAATATCAGAGCAGTAGTGGGAAGTGCTCTGGATCGCTTTTTTAGATCGCCTCGTGTGTACCGAAATCGGGAGTGATTTCTCAGTACCCGCCCGTCTTGTTTTACCACTTTACAGTTATAGTGTTGCCACTGATTTGCGTGTGTAGGTCGTTATACTCGCATTCAGGTAACTGGATGACTATATTAATATATTATAGCAACATTCAAATGTTTTCTATGTGTATACAAAGACATTAGTGGAAATATGATGTTAATGTTGAACAATATGATGTTAATGTGAAGTTACTCATTAGTAATTTTATATGTGGTTTTATAATAATTATAATTATGTATAATTGTCATTTTCAGTATGTATATAAATAAGATTCTTTGATTTTTAAAATATTTTTATAGCGATGATACTTTTGAAGACGTGTTTAATAGTAATGTTAAAATTTGTAATGTTTTGGATTATGATATATGTATAATCATATAATATAAAGCCTTATTCTTGTGCCTTTTGATTGATGTATAATGTGAAGATGTCAAAACATTTGTTACAAATTAAAATTAAATTTATAAAACAATGATATTTATATTATTTATTTCCTATTTGTTGAACATAATGTAAAAGCTACTAAAAAACCAATGACGGTTGGAGTCAGGCATACAGTCCACCTGATGATAAGTGATAACGGTGGCTACAGTTAATGCTTAGAATACCAAGGGTATCAAGTGTATGTTGCTAACACTTAAGAGATGGGGCCCCTTCTGCAGAACTCCAATTTAATTTTAATTATTCTATTTAGACGACCTCGGTGATCTAGCGGTCTGGCACACCGCTTTACGTCCGATGTCTCGCACGGCACAAACATTCATGAGTATGATTGTTTGTATCGGTCTAGGTGTTTTGTATGTATAATATATATGTATTTACGAAAAAAAATTATATATGTAAATGTCATCAGTTACTTGTACCCGTAACATAAGTTTTAGCTAGCTGAACTTGGGACTAGATGGCGCTGATTAGCAGACGGGAACAAAAATTTTGTTCTGTGGATGGGAACATTATCTCAGTCCTCATTAGAAACAAATAAATCTATCTTACATACTATATAAATATTAACTAATTATTTTAAAGCACATATAGATTTTTTAGATAAAAGGGTACAATGAAAAACAGTCATAGTGTTTCTAATAATGTTATTTTTACAATAGTTTTAAATGTCCAGTCACTTGATCAACAATATCCTTTGGTGCCGGTCCCACACCCAACACTGTTATAGAGTTTGCTGCAATTTGTGTTCTTCCAGCATCCCTTATGAGAGATGTAATCAAGCCCATCTTCTTAGCGTTGTCCGATATTTGTTTAATTTCATCAACAGAGTCAGTTTTAAGAGCGATTTTAGCTTGACCAGTTAACTGCCATAGCTTCAGACCTTCTGGATCCTTCTTCTGCGCCTTTTCAAATGCTCCCACAGCGGCATGCCCACACTGTGCTGCTATTTTACCTTTACTCATATTCAGATCTGTTCGTACAACCAGCACTAGTTTATATTCAGTATTTGATGCAAACTGTGGAAGAACATTTTTGTAACAGTTAAAATTACACAGTAAATAGGTATTAACAGAAAGTTCAAGAAATAGCTTAGCGATAAGACCACCTTCTCTATCAGTTCATGTATATGTACTATTTTAATTATTATCTTTATTTGATGCAATAAAGAGTACCAATAAATTTATTCACAGGTCAAATTACAAGTAGTACATATATTGGAACTAAACAAATAAATTGCTGTGAGCTATAAAGTTAACCTTTTTATGGCCTTCGCAGTGGTGGCAACTGAACTTCCACCAACAAGATACTTTTTCAGTGCGTATACGGATAATGCTATACTGATACCGCATCCCAAACCGGACCAAAAAGATGAATTCACGTCCATCGTTTGCTTTTATAATAAATTACTGTCTACAAGTATTAGTATGAGATTATAATTTTCATTTGTTATATGAGTACAGCTATAAAATTATAGTATAACCTAAAAATATGTTACTTTATACATGTAAATAAAAGAAAGGAATATCAATATTCAATATTCTCCACAGGACCAGCTGTCATGTCACAGTTCATATAATTACACGACAGCCAGATTGATTTGAATGACGTTATGTTGTCGTCTAATAGAAGTCATTATTATACAGTGGATTTTGTTGCAGACTGTGATTATTTACAGTAGGTATCTAAATAATTATTCCTTATTATTGTGTCAAATCCAAGTTAAAATCGAATTATTATACGGATTTCCTAATGAAATAAATTAAAACTATTATTTGCTATTTTTTTAATCATGGATTCTTGAGTTTTGAAGTCTCGATCCTCTGCTTCGTGCTATATTAGTAGATTATAAGGATAATAAATTAACTGCTTAATTTGTATTTCCAGTTAATTGTGGAAGTAAATACTTTTCATTTCGACTTTCTGTGGCCATCAGATTAGTGATAACCGATTCTACTGAATTATCGACAAAGACTTGAAGTCACTGGTAATAAATAAACTGATACTGCCCTTAATTTTGCTATCCTTATTAAACATTTTAAAATCAAAATGTTTAAATAGTTACACTTAATTTTTTTTCAAAGATAAACATTATAATCTTAATTTACACAATAAAATGGGTACATCACTAGCCGCTAGATTGAAAAGAATGAGAAAAAAAATAAATGAACTCCGTCTTCAGTGCGCTTCACTTGTGTTTTTTTCTAATTTTACTGTCATTAAGCAGATAATTTGATGCATATTTCATATGCAACAGTTATTTTGACTATATATCGTGCTCTATTATGCTACAAATTAATACGGGGAGTGCTCTAAGTACTTCTAATAACTAAAATCAATAACAATCAGTGACCAACAAAGGTACGCTTGTTTGCTTTTGCAGACATATAACCTGTGTTTTGTACTAGCGTCCGGTTGGCGTCTGTCACAATTTGCAAGAAATTGTTTAATATTTGTTATTTTGTTTGAATAGCGGTGTGCAAATGTGTTTTATAGTGTTTGCTGTGTGTGGTTTATATTTCGGTTTCTGTTTTTAGTTACCGAGATGAATTATGAAGCGGATAGGGCCATGAATCAGAAACGTTTGCGAATGGAGGGCGAACCGGGGCACGGTGTTGTTCAGGGGAATGGTTTGCCGCTAAATTATATAGGTAAGTTATGAACTAACATTCGCTGGAAATGTGTTAAGAATGCACTCTTAATACATTGAATATAATGTTATAATAATGTTTAGTTGATACAACGACATTCATGTACGATTTTCGCTCCAAGACATCTGTGTATAAATAACGCAAACTTGTGTGTGAAGTATTTTAAAAAGTTCTTTAAAACTAGAATATATATTTACAAAAGTTAATGAGTGTTGTTTTTACTTTAATTACTTATTGATTAAGACTAAAACAGAATATTAAACTATCTATAAACAAAACAGCAGATTCTACTAAAATTCATGTCAATATTTACCAAATTTACTAAATGATATTTTAATGTTGTCTCCAAGTATTATTTTTTATAATATTACATACACTTTGATGCTTATATATGTACATGAACATTCCAAAGGCTTACAGAGTAACATTGAGTAAACATGATTGGATAGTTGGAATAAAAAAAAAAAATAGATTAGTGTATTAAAACCTAATTTATATTTTATTTTTCTATTTGAAATATAGTACAAAATTATTTCATTTATATATCATTATTGATGCTAAGGAATATGTGGTTTATGGTTTGTTTATAATTTGCTTAAATCTCACAGAACTGTGAAGTGTCTTTATTTATCAATGTCTTTATTGCTTAAATTTTTGGTTATTCTATTTTTATTAATATCTAAAAATTATTCATGCCATGACTAAAATAAGAGTAAATAAACATATCACAAAAAATGTCCCATTAAAATCATGCAACTTCAAACTTTTTTGCTAGTTTTTGTTCTAGCTTCAAGTTTTAATGTCAGTTTGGTAAGAGTTTTTTTTAAATCAATCTATTTATTTATAAAGAGAGAGAGAGTAGAGTATGAAAATTAAAAATAAAAATTACTGCATTGAACTTAGTGCAGGAATTGCTGTTAAAATGTTTTGTATATAATCATTAATATAAAGTGTACAAATAAATAAATAAATAAATATGGTGATATATACATATAAAACTCACAAAATTAGGGGTGCCCCTGATGTAGATGTAGTCATGTGGTTGTATGTATGTAGCCCCTAGTTGAATAATGGATATTGATTTATTGTATTTATAGATAATGAGGGCAAAGCTACAATAAAGGTATATCATAATAATATACCTGGACAATTTACATAGCGCTATCTAGTCACAAACTAAACAACTTGTGTTATGGGTACTAGAAAACTGATAGATATACTTTGATATATTTTTTGTTAATAAATATATATACATAGAGAACACACAATACACACAATCATACTTATGAATATAAATGGTTATACCATGTGAGGAATCAAACCCACAATCATCCGATGTAGAGTGTCAAATTCCTATTCCACCAAGGTCAATGTATATATATATCTTCATACATATGTTATTAACACATTAATTGCTGAAAAGTTGCCTGCACTAAGTCAACCTATGGACTCACAATAAGTTGTGCTAGCTTTGAAGCCATGGTACTGCCCTGTGGGTATTCATCTACTCTTTGGGCGCACGTGCACACATGACACCTAAGTTCTAGTCACCACTTGATGAATTTCGGTGTACACAGGAATAGCCTAGGTTTAATTCTCCTTGCAAATTCTCAGCAGCTGAAGCGTGAAATGCTAACATGTGGGTGATAGAATGAAAGGTCTGTATGTATGAGATTAATGAAACAACTGATAAAAAATAGTAAATACTTATAATGTAGGTAGTAAAAGCAATAGTGGAAAAGTGACAATAAAGTATGTGACAGTACTAAAAGAAAAGTAAAGAAAAGATATTCAAAACTGATACTAAAATTAATGTATAAGGAATTAAAACTTATGTTCAGTCTTTTTAGTATTTACTTTGTTATTGGAATATGTTAAGTATAGCATCGGCAGCAATAAGCTAAAATTGAAACTTCTAACAATGTCCTTTAATGTGACGTGACCAAAGCTACTCTATATGCTGAGGGGCCACCAGTGTTGGATCATAGGATGAGCATTAATTGCAGGGGGCACCTCGTGGAGGTGAACCTGACAGTATATTAGTAAAAATCAGTACACATTATTAACAATCCCCCCCCCCATCCCCCCCCCCCCCAATCCGGCTGACAATTATTATTGTTTATTTTCTCACATGGTAGACAGTTCTGACAAAAGTTATTAAGTCAACAGCACTTTCGGTCATGAAACTCCAATGATACATTTCAAATGAGTTGTATAATAAAAAAAAATGGCCATACAAAAGTTATTACAATATGTTTATTTGAATAAAGAATATTTATAATTCCATTTCTTAAATTTAATTATTAAATATAAGTCATTTTTTTCCAGATAATGGCCACCAAATACCGTACCAGCCTTATGCAGGGGCGTACAATACCCACTACCCACCTCCAGATGCATTTGCAGCATACGGACCACCTCCGTCCGGGGGTTACGCGCCCCAGAACCTGTCGTACGCGCCGCCGGCCCACCAGAACTACCCCCACCATCAGTCCTTTCCACCACAACAGCCCCAAGCTCAACTCCATATGCCCCAGTCTCATATGGGTAAATATAGTATGTAGTCGATTTAAATTATTATAATTAATGTTAATTGTATGATAATAGCAAGTATATTGTAAGTATTATTAGTATATATTATATGCTTAATATATTTGTAACTTTTTAATCGAATTAAGTGTTATTTTCCGGTAGTTAATTTCACTACTTGATGGAATCCGCTACAATTAGCATATGTGAAACTTTGAAACCGCGACTTGCGAGTCGCGGTTTGGTCGCCGAAGTGTCAACACTAGGCTTCCAAGCTATATCTGAACTCTATTCAACGCCTGATGATGCCTCGTTCGGAAGCGAAACACGTGTCGCAATATGGGTGTAGATTCAATAACAGTCGGAATTTGATCACCATAGAGAAGGTCGTAACGGTAGTCAAGTTTCTGCATTGAATATTTGTGGTCTCACACATGCTAATTGTAGCGGATTTAAACAAAATAATAAATCCATCAAGAGGTATATTTGTAATTGGCTAACTTGTAAAGATATTTTGATGAATGTAATGGACATGTCTTTGTATGATGTGTAGTATTCATTCCATCATCTGCCTGATGGTAGACAGTTCTAACATGAATGTCACAGATTATAAATGACTAATGTATAATATAATATTGGTTGAGAATATCAAGTGATCACTTCATCACGACATAGATGGTTGAGTTACCCCATTTTTTCCATATATTTTTAAACCATAGTCACTTTACTCTCGATAACAAAAACACCTTTTTTTAAATTGGATCTTAATTTACTGGTACACTCGTCTGCGCTAACAGTATGCGCTGGCGGGGTACCAATGAGGTTGACAAGATGTGTATGAGATCAGGTCAATTAGTTGATCGTGGTAAATTCACTAGGAAATATAACCTGATGTCCTGACATGGTACATTTCTAGCAGTAGGTTAATTTATTAATCCAGATTACTAACAATCCGCTTCTTCCCCAGTCCAAGGTTACGGAGATGTAGGCGTGCACAAACCGGCGTGGCCGCCCCAGACCCATCTGTTACCACCACTCGACACCCAGAAACCACTGGACGTGAAGCAGCTAAAGCCCGAAATCAAGCTAGAACCCGCCGATTCGCAGAAGAGACCGCATCCGGAGAATGAGATGATGGTGAGATTCGTAGCGTACTTTTCATGTAGTCCACCATCAGACACGGTGACTTGGACCTCAACTCAAAGACTATAAAGGGCCGTAAAACCAACATGGTATGTAGAGCCTTGTATTACAGACCTACTTCGAATGCAAAGAACATTTTTTTTGCCACGACAAAATTTACTACACTTCGCCCTGGTATCACTTATACAACATATAATACATACATGTAGTGTTGACTTATTTGTTATTTAAATTTCATTATATCTCCTAGTATATTAGTTGTTACCTCCATAATATCGAGTCGTTAACTAAAGCTCCACGTCTTTACTCCGCGACGTCTACAAGTTGAATATCCTTCTTAAGCTTCACGGACCGCGTGCGGCCGGCGCGAGACGACAGTTGAATCAACTCTCTAATAGTGTTACACATATACTGCAAACATAGAAATATTATGTAAGGAGGATGATTATCACATAATAAGGTCGATGGATCCTGTTATGCTATATTCCTTATAAGGCCAATTTATTAAAAGATCATATTTCAACAATTGGTCGTAAAGGAAGTATTGTTATTGTAGCGAGGTGGTTATTCTCTTCACTGTAGCGTTATATATGTTGTGATGAGGTGACGCTACATAATATATTATTTATTGTAGTATGTAGGTAGTGAGTATACCAGTAAAATGATTGCACTATTTATTAGACATTATTAAGTTTATTGGTGGTGTGCTACATGGTTTTAATAACGCGTCCAGTCGACGCGGAGTCGGGACGTGGACTGATTTTTCACTCAACTTAAATCTATGTCAGTGGAGACGTAAAGTAATGGAAGGGTCTCAAGTGTCGACAGAAATATTACAAGTGTAGGCACACTATTCATTTCGATACAAAGTCAAAATCATTTATTCATATAGGATTTTTCGACCCTCCGTGGTACACCAACTATACATATAATTCTTTCGAAATTCTCTAAATTATAGCAAAGACCATATAAAAGTCATTTGGTTGTTTTATAAAGAAAGCGATGAACATTTTACGAAAATTGAGCGGATGAACGAGTATTAAATTTCGCACACTTTGTTTATAGATATATCCTTGTAGATAAGGAGTACATGCTACAATGCTAATATATTTTTTAAATTATGATTATAAATACATTATTAAATCAATAAAAAAAAAACATTACACTACCATGTACTTGACACACACAGTTAAGTTGAGAATAGTTTATTGTTGTTTGTCTTTAATATTATTTGTTTACAGTCTTACTGAATGTGAAACAACCTATAATTTAAATAATTTATGGTCGAATTCCGACCATTATGCGACCACTATTGTATTAAATGTAAAATAAACAAAATGTTGTAGCAGGGCGGGGACATGGATCAACCTAAAATTAAGATCAAGACTGACATCTTCAAGCCTGATGACTTGGCGCACAGACCTCCAGTCGAAAAACCACTTGGTGAGTGTAAAAAATAATATACTACTATGGTTATTCTTATCTTCTCTCTTCCCTAATTCTTGTCCTTTATTTTATGACGCTGGTTCAATTCCCGAAGAACTATTTTTATCGATTTACATGTTTTCTATATACTACTATCTGACCTGGCAAACATTGTCCTGCCATATGTAGTAATCTCGTTAAAAATAGGGGTGATGGTTTAAGGGTAAAAATGTAGGATTCATGTATTATTTAAATACAGAATTATAAAATTATTGAAAGAAAAAAAAATATAGAGGGCCACCCTTATCGTTTAAGCATATTTTGTTATCTATATTCATACCTGATGAATATAAATAACAAAATATGGTCAGACCTACTGAGTACACATATAAAATTGTATCAAAATAGATTAACGCGTTTCGGAGAAATATTGCAACTAATACTGTGACGACTAGAACTTTATAAATATATAGTTTTATATATATTTATGTAAAAAACAAAATAATCTAATTGCATTATTATAGAATGAATTTTATTTCAGAAAATGTTCAAAAATCTTTGGAGCCCCACAAATTGGATCAACAGAATAAAGGTAAGTTGCTACTTTATATATCTTTCTATTTACTTATGATACTGTCATTAGAATTTATTTAAATACTAGTAGTTTGTGTTGCCAAGCTTCAATTAAATTGGGCTGCAAATAATTTATATGGAAAAAAATATATCTTTACATAATATAAAACAAAGTCGCTGTTGTCGTCTGTTGGTTTATGTCTTTTAAATTACGCAACGGATTTTAATGCAGTTTTCAATAGTAGATTGAGTGATTCAAGAGGATGGTTTGTATGTATAATAAATATGTATAGAACAAGACGTAATATAGTAAATAAATATGACTTAAATTTAAGTTTATATAAATAGAATAAATAATTTTATATTCTATTCTAGTAATTGTTAAATGTGAACCATAAATGTTAAATGTAACTTTGGATATTTTCAGATGAAGTCCACCTAGCTAGTGAAGCGAAGGCCGTGGATAAACCTACAGGTATGTTGACGCGATAAAACACGCGCGATCACGAACTACACGTTTTTGTAAAGTGTAAAGGCAGCTAATTAATTTCTGTACACGTTTTAAGTACAGTTATTTGATAATTGTTCAAAATTAATATTTAAATGCCATTTTGTTGTGTAACATATTAGATTAAATAATTGTAAAAATGAATGTGACATATATTCAGATAATGTTACTAGCAAATAAATTTTATTTTAATTAATTTAGAAAGTTGTCTGCTTTTGGCTAAATAGATGATGATGATGATGACGTACTAAATCGCGCGCGCTCCTTATCACGCGTGAAAGAACGTGTCGTGTAAAGGCAGCTATTGATTTCTATGTATTTTAGGTACAGGTAGTCCAAAAGTGTTTAGAAATTATATTTGCTTGCCATTCCGAGCTTAAACATTGTATGAAATGCATAGAATAATTGTATGCATTTCATATCTCCTGGCTAAATACATGATGATGATGTGCTAAATCGAACGTGTCATGTAAAGGCAGCTAATGGTCATGATATTACAGAGGCTAAGGCGGAAGTGTCGGCGGAGCGCGTGACGGATAATCAGCGACCGCCCGAGCCGAAAACACCCACAGCCGAGAAACCGTAAGTCGACACTGAACATGAGATTAAAACTTTATTGCTCCTCTCGCATAAAATGCAATTCCATACATTAATTAGACTAATACTAGCTGTGCCCGTGATTTCACCCGCGTTAAAATTCATTATATAAATTTTAATAAAAAATATAGCCTATATGTTATTCTAATACATAAATTATATTACTGTAAACACCGCCGTCTTAAACTAGGCTGGGGCTCTTGGGCACACGAAGATTTCCGGGCCCTTTTGGAAAGTAAAAAAAAGCTCATTAGGTATAAGAATATAAGGAATAGGCGAAGTAATCGGTATAATGGCGTAGTATATGCCTTGTAAATACATTCTGATAACATTACTGATTTGTGAAAAAAGTGTAGTGTGCCCGACAAAAATCTTTTGAGAATAAATGTGTGAGAAAAATTGTCAGTCCTTCAGGAGCCCCCTGAGTATGAGGACCCTGGGCACTGGCCCCGTGTGCGTTTATGGTAAAAACATTATTGACTGTAAAGTTTCATCAAAATCCGTTCCGTAGTTTTTGCGTGAAAGAGTAACAATCATCCGTACTCACAAGCTTTCGCGTTTATAATATTATTAAGATAAGATATACCTATAGAGCTCATTGTACTATGGGAAACAAATATACCTAAAGATCATGCAATAAATAAATATTGCGAACTAATAAACGAATTAGTTAAAAACGGCTATGTGGTTAATTTATATGGAGGCAAAGTAGGATCCAAAGGTACCGTAATACTACCATAATCTCTCTACAATCCTCTAAAACATCTTGGGCTGTCTAGAACTGCAAGTTTTATACTAGAATGTGTACTTAGTAGGCTACCAGACTTGGCTGAGCGGGGAGAGAAATCCTCTTTCCCCCAGATATTGGTATTGACTTGTTATAGTAATATCAATTTATTGAAAAAATAGTTTTTTTTGAAAATACTAAGGCTCTGGCGATTTTGTTTCGGCGGAAATAAATAACACAGGTATACATACAAACGATTGCTATGTTTTAGTGTGGAAGAAAGGAAACCGTTCAGTAGTCCAGAAATATCAAAATTAGCAAGTACACCGGGCAAGATACCCACGCCGGGCTCTGAGGTGAGTTTCATGTTTATGAGTATTTATTCCTAAAAGCTATGTCTACATCAGTGTGTTCGTATTCATCTTGTCTTCTTCTGACGTTTGTCTCTTAAACCATAGATCCTTGTAACAGCGCATGCTTCTGGCCCAATGCTATCCATCAATCGTGCAACATTTTGTGAAAAAAAAAGTTTTTTATTAAAGTAAAATCAGTTACAATTTGCATTGTGGTTGAAATTATCACTATATTGAATTTTTATCGAATATTATCTATATGTATAGGCAGAACAAACAAAATTGATGATTAGATCCATGTTCTAAAAATGTTACTATCCGAATCACATTCAGCAGCGCTCCGCTGTCTTACTTCCC